CCCCCCCCCCCCCATTACCACGCCCTAACAAATAGAAAACCAGCATGTACTTCCGTAAGATTCTGGGGAAGAGGTTACTGGCTGGTGTCTTCGCCCCCAAAGGAGGGTCGGTGCAGGGGTCGGTGCGGGGGAGAGCTACGGCGCACGACTTCTTGGCGTACCTCGCCGACAGGCAGGAGTTCGACGAAGCCCTCGACCTCAGCCAGGTTAGGTGTAGGCAGCTGAGCCGAGGCCGTCTCTCACCGCTTGTCGTGTTGGGGACTGGGTGCGGGCAGTGGCTCGAAAAAGGTCACACGCGAAAGTCTTCACCGACATTCCTACAACAGTAGCGTGTAATCGACGGGACGCTATATTTTTTCACTTTGGGTGGAAACCCGGCCTGCGCTAAAGGTGGTCAAGAGAAGCAGCTTCCGTGTGCGCAGGTTTTCTACGATCGAGGCGCACAAGTTTTTTTGCCTATCAATTCAGGAGTTTAGAGTCATTGGCTAACGTTCATTAACCCCATCCTCCTACCCCCCGCTTTACAAAACAATCGAACTCCTTGTACCTGTGTGAGAGCAGAACCTTTTGCAGGGCGGCTCGTTCTTGAGCCACGGCCCCTTCAAGCAGGACCCCTCGCTTAAGGCGCACGGCGCGGTGCTCCGCCTTTTTGTCGCGCTCCTGGAGCACCAAGCCTGCAGCGGCTGTAGCTATACTTCCGACGGCAGTTCTTGTGCCGCGGATTTCCCTGCTCCTTCTGCTGGCAATGCAGCTGCTGTCTCGGGACGGCAGCGGCCCCCCCCTCTCATCCCCGGGCTGCAAGACCCGCTCTCGCTTGTTGGCCGGCTGCGGGCCTGCTGGGTCGATTGCGGCGGCGGCGGCCACGGCGGCAGCCGTCAAGCGCGGGCGCTCGAGCACCTCAGGTACGCGCAGCGGCTGCTCGAGCAGGCGGCGACGGGCTCGCCGGGCGACGCCTCCATCGCGGGCTACCGGGCGGCGGCCACGGCGGCGTCGGCGGCGTCGGAGGGCGGGGGGATGCCGGCCGCCCTGCGGCAGCTCGCGGCGTTCGTCGAGCGCAACCCGGGGAGCGTCAAGGGGCACCGTCTCCACGCCCGGCTCCTGGAGATGAGCCGTCGGGAGGCCCAGCAGCGCGCTGCGGCCGGCGGCGGCGGCGGCGACGACGACCGCCTATCGCTGCCGCAAGAGGAGGGAAGGAGGGACAGGGGGCAAGGAGAAGGCCGCGACGCCATCGGGGGGGCGGGGGCACAACAAGCGGGTGCGGAGAAGAAGGCAGCAGGCACAGCCGAGGAGGAGGACCAGGACGGTTTGCTCCTGGTCGGGGTTGCCAGGGCGCGCGCGCTCCGCGGGTGGCTGGAGGCCGACCCGCTGGAGCCGCGCGCCGTACTGGCCCTGGCCGCCCTGCACGCGGAGGGCTCCGCGGCGGTGGTCGGCGTCGCCGACAGGGCCTTCGTCGTGGACGGCCTGGTGGCCCAGCTGGAGACCTCCTGCGGCGGCGGTCCCCGCCCCTGCCCCGCGCCTGCGGTCGACGCTCGCGGGACGCTGCATACCACACGCGCGGCGACGACGCTGTGGACCGCTCTGGCCGACCTCCTTGGGCCCCTCCGCGTGAGGGACGAGCCGGTTCCAGTCGTGCGGCAATCCGGCGGCAGTGGCGGCGGCGGCAGGGATAAGTCGACAGCAGCGGTGTCGCCGCCACCGCCGCCGCGCCCGGGAACCATCTGGGACCACCTGTACGGAGCGGACCCGCCGTGGGCGCCGACAGATTTTGTGGCCGCCAGAGGTCGGGTCGTTGGTTCTGGCCTCGCCGACGGTCGCGCAGGAGTTGGGGGTGTGCTGGGAGGACAAGCAATGGGTGAGGGAGGTGGCGGCGACCGCGGCGGGTTGTCGGCGTTAGGGTCGTATTCGCCGCACCCGCTCCTCCGAGGCGTGGACGCAGAGCTGTGGGAGGAGACGGTGTTGGACCCGGATGCAGAACCGTTGCTGCTGGACCCGGGGGGGGGCGTGGGCGGCCGGGGACAGGATGGGTGTATTTGGTGCAGGTATGTAACGTACGTGCGATACATTTTGGCTGAAACGGGCGCGTGCTGTTGTTTTGTTACTTTGCGTCCCCGTTTCACCTGTACTTGACCGGTGGCTGTTTGAAGTGTTGCGCATCGGGTGTGTAGAGTGAGCGGCCGTGAGTGTTTCGGAGGGTGCGAGGGGCGGAGTCGACGAAAGATGGTATCGGTTCTATCCTTCGTCGTTGAACGATACTTCCACCTCCAACCACTCAAGCTACCTGCTGCGAAGTCGCACCCGTAGGCTTGGCTCGCCCCCCGTCTGACGAGCAGCATCCTTTCGTTACTTGTTTTTATTTATTTCTTCGTTTCATTTTCCGTACGCTCGGATGTTTTTGCACTGTTGTTTTCTGCTGACGTGTCGACGCTTTCTTTGCCCCCCCCCCCCCCCCCCCCCCCCCCCCCCCCCCCC